CAGGGTTAGATTGAACAGATATGTAAGTGGTTCAGCTATGAAATCAGCTGCCAGATTTAAAAAGCAGGGATCCAAAAGATCAGGACCTGCAGGCTTTCTTTGATCTAAGGATTTCAGGGCTTTATGTACCACCTGCACTGAGAATGGCAGAAAACTAAAAGTTTGACCAGCTCTCACTGGTTCATCCACACAGGGTTGTACAGAGACAGAGGACACTGGTTCATCCACACAGGGTTGTACAGAGACAGAGGACACTGAATCAAACAGCCTACCAGATGATACAAAGTGCTCATTGAAACAATTCAGCATTTCAGTTTTGTCATATATAGCAACAGAGTCCTTCAAAACACATGACGGTAATTCATTAACATTACTGTTACCAGACATAGACTTAATAGCATTCCAAAACTTTCTAGGGTCATTCAGGTTATCAGTGGTAACAGACATAAAATATTCAGACTTGGCCTTCCTGAGAAGAAAAGAACACTTGTTTCTTAACTGCCTAAAAATAAGCCAATCAGCATCAGAACAAGATTTCCTTGCTTTAGCCCAGGCTAGATTACGGTCGTGAATAATACAAGACAGCTCAGAAGAAAACCATGGATTATCCCGCCCTTTAACCCTGAACCTGCGGAATGGTGCATGTTTGTTTACTATTTGGAAAAAACCATCATGAAAGAATATCCAGGCAGTTTCCACACCAGGGATAAGCTCAATCTTGCTCCAGTCAAAATAAAACAAATCATGAAAGAAAGCCTGCTCATTAAAACACTTCAAATTTCTCTTACGAATAAAACGTGGATTTGTCTTTGGAACCTTAGTATTTCTAACAGCAACAACAGCACAATGGTCACTTAAATCATTACAAAAAACACCAACCGCAGAATATTTATGTGGAACATTTGTCAATATCAAATCAATCAGGGTAGATTTATCAGGGCATTTAAGATTTGGGCGAGTGGGTGAATTAATCAACTGGGTAAGATTCATAGAATTACAAAACATTTTTAAATCATCAGACACCGGCTTTAACCAACACCAGTTGAGATCACCAATCAAGATCATTTCACTGTAAAGAAGTTTAGACATAAGGTGCGTCAAAGAAGAAAATGCATCACCAAGAGCAGAGGGGGGTCTATAACAGCCAATCACAGTTATAGAGAGGCCCTTTGAAACCTCAATATTCAAAGCAAGAAATTCCAATTGTTTACAAATAGTTTCAGACTTTGCCACACTTACATGGAATTTAGATTTTACATATATAGCCACACCCCCACCTTTCTTAACCCGATCTGCACGATAAACATTGTAACCACTTATACAAATATCCTTATCAAAAATAGACTTGCTGAGCCAGGTTTCCGAAAACACAATTACATCAGCATCAGTTGATTTAGCCCAAATCCTAACCACATCAATTTTTGACAACAGGCTGCGTACATTTAAATGAAAAATACCAAAACCAGATCTAGATTTAAAATCAGAGGGGGTTTGGAGACATTGCATATCAGGGCCAGGGTTAGGTTGCACGTTACCTGATATCAACAACAGAAGAATAACTAGGCACCTCTGTTTAATAACCTTGCACGGCTTCTCTTTTTTAAGAGACCTACTGCAAGCGAATTCTACAAGTGAGTTTCCAGACAATACAAAACAGTCATTTAAAACCATTAGACTTTGGTAGTGACACAAATTCGTACTGTTCACATCATGCCACAAATGCATCGGCACTTGGACGAGTGGACCGAGTGAAAAAGAGCGAGTTCCTGCAGACAAAATGTCTAATGGACGCGAGAGTACATTTTCAGATGTACTCACCCTGCGACAATGTTCGTTTTCTCCAGAGTTCAATAAAGTCAGTGCACAAAGCAATACCACGTAAATTGTCATTTTCTCTGACCAAAAAACAAGAGGCCAACGAAGGTAAGTGGAGAGAGGGACAGCGTGTATGTGAGTCAATGTGAGTGTTTGCGCGTGTGAGTAGATTGGGTGTTGAGGGCGATAGAGAGAACGGGTTGAGCTGCCACTGACAGCCAGGCGAAGAGCAAGGAGCAGCTCGGACAAGACACTCCGCGGACTAACGAGGAACTCAGGCCAGCCAGAGATAGGGTTACTTTGGTAAACTTCAAGTAATGAAGTTCCGAGTTGAGGAGGACCCGTGATCTTTACACCAGCAAAAATAAAATAGTTTGCACTACGCAACAACGAAGTTACGCAACCATAAATAAATAGATTATTAGTAGGTTAAAATGTACTAGTCACAAACAAACGACTTGACAAACGACTTGACATGCTGCCATCTTGGAATCTGCGCTGCCATCTTGGAAGTGTACCTATGATGAAAATTACAGGCCTCTCTCGTCTTTTTAAGTGGGAGAACTTGCACAATTGGTGGCTGACTAAATACTGGATTTAATGGTGCTCCGTGGGATGTTCAAAGTTCGGATTATTTTTTATAACCCAACCCTGATCCGTACTTCTCCACAACTTTGTCCCTGACCTGTTTGGAGAGCTCCTTGGTCTTCATGGTGCCGCTTGCTTGGTGGTGCCCCTTGCTTAGTGGTGTTGCAGACTCTGGGGCCTTTCAGAACAGGTGTATATATGCTGAGATCATGTGACAGATCATGTGACACTTAGATTGCACACAGGTGGACTTTATTTAACTAATTATGTGACTTCAGAAGGTAATTGGTTGCACAAGATCTTATTAAGGGGCTTCATAGCAAAGGGGGTGAATACATATGCACGCACCACTTTTCCCTTATTTATTTTTTTGAATGTTTTGAAACAAGTAATTATTTTCATTTCACTTCACCAATTTGGACTATTTTGTGTATGTCCATTACATGAAATCCAAATAAAAATCATTTAAATTACAGGTTGTAATGCAACAAAATAGGAAAAACGCCAAGGGGGATGAATACTTTTGCAAGGCACTGTACATTATTTGTCTTCAGGAAGGCAGTGAGTTGCTGCACAACAGCTTTTTCATTTTTTTTTTTTTTGAGGAATGGGAGATTCGATATAGGCCGATAGTTCTTTTACATTTTCTGGGTCAAGGTTTGGCTTTTTCAAGAGAGGCTGCTTTATTACTGCCACTTTTAGTGAATTTGGTTCACATCCAGTGGATAGGGAGCCATTTATTATGTTCAACATAGGAGTGCCAAGCACAGGAAGTAGCTCTTTAGTAGTTTAGTTGGAATAGGGTGCAGTATGCAGCTTGAAGGTTTAGAGGCCATGGCTATTTTCATGAACGTGTCAAGAGATACAGGATTTAAAAACTTGAGTGTCTCCATTGATCCTAGGTCCTGGCAGTTCTGTGCAGACTCAGGACAGCTGAGCTTTGGAGAAATATGCAGATTCAAAGAGGAGTCTGTAATTTGCTTTCTAACGATCATGATCTTTTCGTCGAAGAAGAAGTTAATGAATTCATCACTGCTGAAGTGAAAGTAATCCTCTCTTGGGGAATGCTGCTTTTTAGTTAGCTTTGGGACATCATCAAATAGACATTTTGGATTGTTCAAGTTTGACAGATTCTACAGGTAAAGGTACTTTTAATCCCTGTTTGCATATTTCAAGACATGGCATTTGAGCGTGCAGTGAGATACCCGATGGGTTGGATGATACTCTTCTCGTCAATTATCTTGGAAAAACTGGAAATCAAACAGTCCTCCATCGTTAAGACCATGCAAGAATCATATGCTTCGTTATCTAAATATTGAAAGAGCGTGGGTGACGGAGAGGAACAAAATGGTGCAATGTGAGGACGTGGCGGAGAGTAGTGCAGGCACTGGAGATAGGGGTGAGAACAGGGGTCTGGGTAGGAGGGAGAACAGGGGTCTGGGTAGGAGGGAGAACAGGGGTCTGGGTAGGAGTGAGAACAGGGGTCTGGGTAGGAGGGAGAACAGGGGTCTGGGTAGGATTGAGAACAGGGGTCTGGGTAGGAGGGAGAACAGGGGTCTGGGTAGGAGTGAGAACAGGGGTCTGGGTAGGAGGGAGAACAGGGGTCTGGGTAGGAGGGAGAACAGGTGGGTCTGGGTAGGAGGTAGAACAGGGGTCTGGGTAGGAGGGAGAACAGGTGGGTCTGGGTAGGAGGGAGAACAGGGGTCTGGGTAGGAGTGAGAACAGGGGTCTGGGTAGGAGGGAGAACAGGTGGGTCTGGGTAGGAGTGAGAACAGGGGTCTGGGTAGGAGGGAGAACAGGGGTCTGGGTAGGAAGGAGAACAGGGGTCTGGGTAGGAGTGAGAACAGGAGTCTGGGTAGGAGTGAGAACAGGGGTCTGGGTAGGAGTGAGAACAGGGGTCTGGGTAGGAGGGACAACAGGGGTCTGGGTAGGAGGGAGAACAGGGGTCTGGGTAGGAGGGAGAACATGTGGGTCTGGGTAGGAGGGAGAACAGGGGTCTGGGTAGGAGTGAGAACAGGTGTGTCTGGGTAGGAGTGAGAACAGGGGTCTGGGTAGGAGTGAGAACAGGGGTCTGGGTAGGAGGGAGAACAGGGGTCTGGGTAGGAGGGAGAACAGGGGTCTGGGTAGGAGTGATGTTGTTGATGTTTGTGTCTGTATGTTGTCTTTTGTATAGAACCCCATGATGTTCTAGATCTCATCAGAAACATCATATCATCGTGAGTGTTTTGATCCAATGTCATTTTGAGTCTTGGAACATCAGGGAAATACTGCTTAGTTATGTAACAGCTAACGATCTTTCCTCAACACTTTATCATTACTAAAACCGTTAACGATCTTTCCTCAACACTTCATCATTACTACAACAGCTAACGATCTTCCCTCAACACTTCATCATTACTACAACAGCTAACGATCTTTCCTCAACAGTTCAGCATTACTAAAACCGTTAACGATCTTTCCTCAACACTTTACCATTACTACAACAGCTAACGATCTTTCCTCAACAGTTCACCATTACTTCGATAGTGATACATATGACAAATTACAGAAGGCATCTGTTTCCCAAGGTGGCTGTATTGTTCTGTATAGGCCTAGTCCTACGTCGGACTGTAGTTCTGCCAAAATGAGACGGAAAGATGCTTGGCTACAGAGGGGGCCAGGCCTGGCTCACCTGGGGTCAGTGTGTGTGTGTGTGTGTGTGTGTGTGTGTGTGTGTGTGTGTGTGTGTGTGTGTGTGTGTGCGTGTGTGTGCGTGCGCGTGTGTGTGTGTGTATGGGCCATGCTCTGCTCACCTGTGGGCAGTCTTTGATGTAGTGTCCTTTGTTGAAGCAGAGATGGCACAGGTAGTTGGGGGGCGGTCGCTTGCTGGGTTTGCGTGGCTCAGAGGAGAGGGAGAGGTCAGAGAAGTGGTCGGTCAGAGAACTCAGGCCGTCTACGATGTTGTTGAGTGAGCCGTAGGGAGAGGAGCTTCTATACACGTTGTTGTTTAAGGCCTGCGGATAGAAAACAATGAGGGTTCTATTCAATCCCTAGCGCTGAACAAGGAGACTGCATTCCCGGTAAACGCAGCAATCGGAAATTACCTTTACATTTTAACACGGATCTTCCGCGATACTTCGGTGATACGGATTGAATAGAGCCCTGAGTGAAATATGGGCTTGGAATTTAGTTGATAACATTTTTTTATATATATATATATATATATATATATATGTAATTAAAGTAATGGAAAATAATGTAATATTGCTGAAAATGTCAGTTACAGATGAGCCTGTCTCTAAGACTGCATTAAGAGTGAATAACACTTGGTTTAGAGCATGTTAAAAGGCACAATCTGGGATATTAGGCCTAAACAGGATTGTGCCAATTAGCTGATAGATACATGGTAGGACTCTTTGCTTCTGTGACATTACAGTACTGCCTATCTATCTGTCTGTGACATTACAGTACTGCCTCTCTATCTGTCTGTGCCATTACAGTACTGCCTCTCTATCTGTCTGTGCCATTACAGTACTGCCTCTCTATCTGTCTGTGCCATTACAGTACTGCCTCTCTATCTGTCTGTGCCATTACAGTACTGCCTCTCTATCTGTCTGTGCCATTACAGTACTGCCTCTCTATCTGTCTGTGCCATTACAGTACTGCCTCTCTATCTGTCTGTGCCATTACAGTACTGCCTCTCTATCTGTCTGTGACGTTACAGTACTGCCTCTATCTGTCTGTGACATTACAGTACTGCCTCTCTATCTGTCTGTGACATTACAGTACTGCCTCTCTATCTGTCTGTGACATTACAGTACTGCCTCTCTATCTGTCTGTGACATTACAGTACTGCCTCTCTATCTGTCTGTGACATTACAGTACTGCCTATCTATCTGTCTGTGGAATTACAGTACTGCCTATCTATCTGTCTGTGACATTACAGTACTGCCTATCTATCTGTCTGTGACATTACAGTACTGCCTCTCTATCTGTCTGTGACATTACAGTACTGCCTCTCTATCTGTCTGTGACATTACAGTACTGCCTCTCTATCTGTCTGTGACATTACAGTACTGCCTCTCTATCTGTCTGTGACATTACAGTACTGCCTATCTATCTGTCTGTGACATTACAGTACTGCCTCTCTATCTGTCTGTGACATTACAGTACTGCCTCTCTATCTGTCTGTGACATTACAGTACTGCCTATCTATCTGTCTGTGACATTACAGTACTGCCTATCTATCTGTCTGTGACATTACAGTACTGCCTATCTATCTGTCTGTGACATTACAGTACTGCCTCTCTATCTGTCTGTGACATTACAGTACTGCCTCTCTATCTGTCTGTGACATTACAGTACTGCCTCTCTATCTGTCTGTGACATTACAGTACTGCCTCTCTATCTGTCTGTGACATTACAGTACTGCCTCTCTATCTGTCTGTGACATTACAGTACTGCCTCTCTATCTGTCTGTGACATTACAGTACTGCCTCTCTATCTGTCTGTGACATTACAGTACTGCCTCTCTATCTGTCTGTGACATTACAGTACTGCCTCTCTATCTGTCTGTGACATTACAGTACTGCCTCTCTATCTGTCTGTGACATTACAGTACTGCCTCTCTATCTGTCTGTGACATTACAGTACTGCCTCTCTATCTGTCTGTGACATTACAGTACTGCCTCTCTATCTGTCTGTGGCATTACAGTACTGCCTCTCTATCTGTCTGTGACACAACACCACAACTTGATTTGTTTTCCTGTTTGCTAGTCTCCCCACTCCGTACCAACAGACGAGGACATCATTTTATGCTTCCAGATGTGCAGAAAGAGTTCCATTTCCTGGGAGGAACAGAATGCCTCTGTCAGGGATCGTTTTCTGATTCCCCCTGTTGGGTTGGCACACAATCAGTACCATCGTATCTATGGTCAGGATATTAAACACTGACTATGGTACCAGTGACACAGAACAAGTGTGAAGAAGCAACAGGCTGTTGTGCTGTTTATTCAATAAAAGTCCTGACGCACTACGTGTTATGGAATGGAACTGGATTAGGATGCAAGCCATGTAATTTCCAGTGCACTGGGCGATGTCATGAAGCCACAAACCGCCGCTACGTAACACAACCATGTTATGTTGTGTGTGTATATATGAGGAATCAACTCCCTGTACCACATGGCAGTGTGCCTATGACTGTTAACCCTTCACTTTGAAAGATTAAACCAACCACCTCTACATCAGTAATGATGGCGATGACTGAGGTGTTAAACACAGAAATATACTTATATAGATTATGGGTGATACACTAACCATGGGTGATACACTAACCATGGGTGATACACTAGCCATGGGTGATACACTAGCCATGGGTGATACACTAGCCATGGGTGATACACTAACCATGGGTGATACACTAGCCATGGGTGATACACTAACCATGGGTGATACACTAGCCATGGGTCATACACTAACCATGGGTGATACACTAGCCATGGGTGATACACTAGCCATGGGTGATACACTAACCATGGGTGATACACTAACCATGGGTGATACACTACCCATGGGTGATACACTACCCATGGGTGATACACTAGCCATGGGTGATACACTAACCATGGGTGATACACTAGCCATGGGTCATACACTAGCCATGGGTCATACACTAGCCATGGGTGATACACTAACCATGGGTCATACACTAACCATGGGTGATACACTAGCCACGGGTCATACACTAGCCATGGGTCATACACTAACCATGGGTCATACACTAACCATGGGTCATACACTAACCATGGGTGATACACTAGCCATGGGTGATACACTAACCATGGGTGATACACTAGCCACGGGTCATACACTAACCATGGGTCATACACTAGCCATGGGTGATACACTAACCATGGGTGATACACTAACCATGGGTGATACACTAACCATGGGTGATACACTAACCATGGGTCATACACTAGCCATGGGTCATACACTAGCCACGGGTCATACACTAGCCATGGGTGATACACTAACCATGGGTGATACACTAGCCATGGGTCATACACTAACCATGGGTCATACACTAACCATGGGTCATACACTAGCCATGGGTGATACACTAACCATGGTCATACACTAGCCATGGGTCATACACTAACCATGGGTCATACACTAACCATGGGTCATCATAGCACCTACAACTTCTAACAGCATATAAAATCATTACAAGTATTTAATTAACGCTATCATGGATATCTTCATAACTCCACTTTCTTAATTTGTGATAGCTACTAGAAGACATGCAGGCATTTAAGGATGGGCAATTACAGGGTAACAGGGTGACGCTGACACTCGCTTTTTAACTTTAAAATGTACGCCAAGCTAAATCTATTGATTGCAAAGTTTAACACACCATACACCCATATACAGAAGTCTACTTTTAACAATTGCCACTGAACATTTTACTAAAACACATTTACTTGAGGAACAGTGCAGATGCAACGTTTGGTAACAGAATGGTAACAGAACAGTAAAAAATGTTATGTGGCCACATTTTCCAAAAACTCTACTCCGAGTACAGAGTACAGTACAGTAGGGTAGAGTAGAGTAGAGTAGAGTACAGTACAGTAGAGCACAGTAGAGTAGAGCACAGTAGAGTACAGTAGAGTACAGTAGAGTTCAGTAGAGTTCAGTAGAGTTCAGTAGAGTAGAGTAGAGTAGAGTAGAGTAGAGTACAGCACAGGCCAGTACAGTAAAGTATATCACATTATACTGTACTATACTCATGTGTGCTCTACTGTACTGTTTTGAACTCTACTGTACTGAACCATACTCTACTGAACTATACTCTACTGAATACTCTACTGAACTATACTCTACTGAACTATACTCTACTCTACTGTACTGTAATGTGTTCTACTGCAACTGTGGTTTGTGATTACTAGGATTTCCCACTGTGGCCAATTCAATTGCAGTCATTATGTAACAGATGTTTCGTCACTCTGTTCCCGTTTTACTAACAGAGTGAAGGTTTTTAATCACTTAATAATTCATAACAAACTTGATATCAGTAAAAACACTATAACTAATTGGTAGGTCTACCTTTACTTGTTACTTTAATATTTCTTAAACTTACAGAACTCTAATAATTTCAGCAAAACTAAATATATATGTTGATATTAGTTGGCAGGGGCCTTTACTTCAAAAGTATTGTGTTTTGATGTATTTCTAATACCTTTTAAGACTTTTTCTAGTAGATGTTTTTCAAGACTCCTTTTCCATCTGTGTCACCAGAAATCAGCCATTGCTTATTTTAGGTTGGAAAATGGTTGAACGATGCCTTCATTTTTTGCTTTCATTTGACACCAAATTTGATACGCTCCTATAAAAACATCACGTTGTTTTCGACCCAAAGGGCACTCTATTCCTCTATTAGCATATCTTCCTGTAGCATAATCTCACAAGCCAAATAAATCCTAGTTTCTTCTTCGTCTGATGAATGTGCTATTCTATTTCACATACTGCACTGGTCTATATTTCAGACTTGTCCTGAGAGGGATGGTAATCGAATTGAGCACCACCAACCCAGCAGGCCCCCATGCAGTATAGGAACATCGCTTAGGGTACGTCCCAAACGGCACCCTATTCCCTATATAGTGCACTACTTTTGACCAGAGCCCCATAGGTCCCTGGTCAAAAGTAGTGCACTACTTAGGGAATAGGGGTGCCATTTGGGATGCAATCTTTTTCAACCTGCCCTACCTCCCCTGGCAGCCCACTGACATCAGAACAGTCTCAACACACACCAGGCACTATGTACTGTGTAAGAGGGGCTCATTCATAGTATAGCATATATATATATATATATATATATATATACACATACACATACAGCTAATCACCAGTCACCACACTGTTGCGGCCCGATGGAGGCATGTGTGTCAGAGCTAGGGATTTACTCCATGTTTACTGTCCGTCCAACTAAGATAATATGGTAAGTGGGTCATACGTTAAAATGTGAAAATATGTAGGACGGCACACTGGATTGGTACATGGCAGGGCTCTTTGCTTGATTCTTCAAATGGGACCTTAAGATGTGTATCCCTATTGGATGAGTAGAATTATTATTATAATCAAAACCAAATTACATAAGAACATGTATGTATGTGTGTGGGTGGGTGGTCCTCTGTAGCTCAGCTGGTAGAGCACGGCGCTTGTAACGCCAACGTAGTGGGTTCGATCCCCGGGATCACCCATACACAAAAAAAGATGTATGCACGCATGACTGTAAGTCGCTTTGGATAAAAGCGTCTGCTAAATGGCATATTATAACATATTTGTGGGTGCTTCAAGGGGTACAGCTTCTATGTTCAACTTGTGACAAAAATATGGTTAATAGTGTTTAATTGCAACGACAATATTATAATTGTTCTATGAATGACAGAATACAATATTGGATGAAGTTCAATCAAAGTTGTTTGGCATGATACAGTTTGTGCAAATCACATATTTTCAAGTAGTTTTATAAACTTTTCACAACTTTACCTCATTCCTCTGGAGTTGCAAGAAGTTGTTGAGATAGTTGGAGTTGAGCGCAGAGCTCAGGTCGACAGCAGCAGCTGACCGCTGTTTGTAGTTGTTCAGGTCCGTTGGAGAACTCTCTGATTCCGGTCTGAACGCATCGAAGTCATTCGTCTGGTGGGAGTCTTGCAGAGACATATAGATCCAGTTCAGTAGTTGTGCTGGTTGGTACACAGAGGTACCCGTATCTATGGCAGACATCATGTTGATCTTTGGAAGAGGAACGCACAGCGCGTCTTCGAGTTAAAGCGCCACCGGGATTATTGCTGCAGAATTAGGCTACCCAAACCAAATCACCAAAAGGTTTTTTTTATCATTTGACCTGTTCTACCTGATACAAAAAATAAATCATTTCGACCTCTTTAACCTGTATTTAACAAAAATGTATCCTTGCATTCACCTCAAAGAGCCCTCTGGGACTCCAATCCCTGGGTTATGGTCACGGGAGAACCGTGGTGAAGGCATGACATGGCAAAACGTTTGTGCCAGTCAAAATATCTGTGGACTCCACTCTGTAGCCTATCTCCACTCACAGTAAACCACAGCCGGGATGAGCTCAGCTCATTGCACATTCTGTCTCGGTCATTGGAGTGCTTCATTATGAATAGGAAGGAGGTCCGATAGAGCCCCACGGTGGAGGTGTCATAATACCCATAAAACCTAGCGGTCAAACAGGAAAACGGTTCCAATCATTTTTCCCATAGAGGATTTTAGAAACACTTAAAATAAGGGCTGTGTTTCGTGTAGGCATATCCTGGCGTGGCGTTTTGATAACCGTGTAAAGCTCTCTCGGACAAAGTGACTTCTGTTAATATATTTCGCTCTATTTTCGGCTCAATTTAATGCTAATTAGCATCAAAGTAAACATGATGCAAAACTACAAATCCCTGCAAGCTCCTGCACATCATCTCTAGCTGACACCTGTTGCTAACTGGTATTGTGTCAATTTAAAACTTACACAAGACAATTCACAGAATTGTCCATTTAAAGAAATGTAGCCAATTTATTATTTACTAAAATTTTGCTAACATTAGATGGTTAATCCAGAGATTCTTACCTTTGCCTCGATTCGGCAGTCTCATCCAGATCATCATGGCATTTGTAGTTCTTTATGATAGCCACATTAGCATTTCATTTTGATGGGGGGGGGGGGTAAATACAGACGAATATATTGATAAAAGTCACCTTGTCGGAGAGAGATTTATATGGTTATCAAAACGTCACGCCAGGGTAAGCCTACACGAAACACAGCCCTTATTTTAAGTGTTTCTAAAAGCCCCTATTGGAAAAAATGAATGGTGGAAAAAACGATTGGAACCATTTCCCTGTTTGACCGCTAGGTTTTATGGGTATTATGACTCATACTGTTGTGATCTATGCTGGAGTAGTCTCGAAAACCCATAGCTAGGGTCAGGTTTTCGAGACTAATGCTGTAGCGCTGTAGCGGTAGTGGTTTAACGTAGGCTACTTAACAAAAAATACTTTGAAGTACTACTTAAGTCGTTTTTTGGGGTATCTGTACTTTACTTTACTATTTATATTTTTGACAACTTTTACTTTTACTTCACTACATTCCTAAAGAAAATAAAGCACTTTTTACTCCATACATTTTCCCTGACACCCAAAAGTACTCGTTACATTTTGAATGAATGCTTAGCAGGACAGGAAAATGATCAAATTTACACACTTATCAAGAGAACATCCCTGGTCATCCCTACTGCCTCTGATCTGGCGGACTCACTAAACACAAATGCTTCGTGTTGGGAGTGTGCCCCTGGCTATCCATACATTTAAAAAAACACGAAAATTGTGCCGTCTGCTTTCCTTAATATAAGGAATTTGAAATGATTTATACTTTTTCTTTTGATACTTTAGTATATTTTAGCAATTACATTTACTTTTGATACTTAAAGCCACAAAATCCATGTAGAAATGTGCGTTACAGATCTTTCATTCTACATCGAAAGCAAGTCTAAGAAGCAGTAGATCTGTTCTATGTGCGTTATTTCTATGCTGTCCGTTCTTACGTTTCGTTTTTATGCCCTTTATGTTCGGTTTTGTACACCGGTTTCAAACAGCTGAAAATACAACATTTGTGGTTATGGAAAATATATTTCACAGCGGTTTAGATGGTATAAAGATTCTCAACACTATACTTGCTCGTTTTGTTACATAAACTGAAATTAAACGAACTATTCGAATTTTTCCAAACAGGAAATAGCAGAAGTGATTTCTGCACAATGCATCTTTAAGTATATTTAAAACCAAATACTTTTAGACTTTAACTCAAGTAGTAGTTTACTGGGAGACGTTCACAATAACTTGAGTCATTTTTCTATTAAGGTATCTTTACTTTTACTCAAGTATGACAATTGGGTACTTTTTCCATCACTGTGTAGTGGGTATCGAAGGATATGGATGGAATTGGCCGATTTATAACCCGTTTTCCATCCAACCTTTTTATGAGAGTAAAGTAGACCTACATGTCGAATAAAACATGTCACGACAGGCCTGATGGGAACAGCACATTTGTCGGTAAACTTTCAAAATGTACTCCAAACCAAAATATGTATTTTCTGTTCCTAAAATTAATTATGCGAGAAATTGTGGTGGAAACGCTTTTATGCATGAATATTGATATAATAACCATCATATCGAAGTACATTTAGATTCACAAAATGATATGTTGTGTGGTCCTCCCACTACGACTCGGGAAAGCATGCAGTTTATTAGGCTACAGATGAAATAAGTAATGATGAACTTCACAGGGTGGTGAAAGGTGATGAGCTTGATGCTGCTTTCCAATAAATATCGAGGGTCTTCTTCTGGTGACATGATGATCGATGCTTGGCTGCCGTTTGACAAATTAAAATAATCCCGCTCTTTTGTCCATAATAATCTCGTCCCGTAGACTATAGCAGCACTATATCCGTGCCAATACCAGAGGGAACATTCACTCTATCATGGATTGTTTTGTTGTTGTTGACAAAACCATCAGTAGAGTTGAAAATTATATGGAAACCCATTTAACTTGTATTTTTTTATTCAGTACATGGGAATTTAACCGCAAAATGTATTCTTTTATGCGCACTACGTCATCATTTATCCGCACCGAGTCATTTTGATGGAAAAACACATCTCTGGTGGGAAAATGTGCATATTATATTTATGCATATTTAAGAATATTCGTATGAAAATCTGTCGCCAATTGGATGGAAACCTTGCTAGTGACTGACGTAACAAGAGAAAAACTGCCGATGCGAAACCAAATTAGCTACTGATAGGAATAACAGTCATACAACAATAAACTAAAATAGTAATACAAGTAAGTAAATAAATTTGTTTGAAATGTGTTAGACTAATTTAGAATTTCATATTTTACACCGCTGGAAATTATCATTCAAGGTTTGTCTCTTGAGTAGCACAGTAAATTAGACTGTGTTATATTAAACATTAAATTGTAAATGAGAGCTTTGCAAATTAGAAAAAAAATAGAAATATCTTTCGGCAAATTGCATTGAGTGACTAAACACCTGTGATGCCGAAGCCATTTGCACAGAGAGGGGCAAACACATTTAACCTCTACAATTTACAATTAAATAACAAATGACTCACCATACAATAAAATATTTTCATTATAACTCAAAAAAGTTGCATTTCAATTCTTGACTCAAGTTACAGAAGCCTAAAGACACCCCTCTCTCAATCATGAAAGGACTGCCATCTACTGTTCATGTGAAGTATGTACATAATGGCATGGGAAAGTTAAGTCATCGATTCTGCTGGCAACGGAACAATGTTGGAACTGTGTTTGAAAAGGTTGGCATTGCATTTCTCCTAAAATGTGACTTTGAACTAAATACAATTCCCCTTAAATTAGCCAATTTCCATAAACAAGCATTACTATCCTGATTAATTGTATATAAACATGATTTATCACCTCATAGGTATTTGATTTGGAATAACAAAGACAAAATATAAGAATACATCTTTTTTTTTCTTCCAAATATGGTTCAAGAACGGTATTTTGTTAGTGACAGTTATTTAATGAAAATTAACATTTGTATGAGAGGAATGAGAATTTAGTTTTAGCATCCTATTAGATGATATGTTCATCAGGGATAAAAAATAAGAAATAAAGTGCACTAATTATTATATTAGGAAGATACACTATATATTCAAACGTACGTAGACACCACTTCAAATTAGTGTATTCGGCTATTTCAGCCACACCTGTTGCTGACAGGTGTATAAAATCGAGCACACAGCCATGCAATCTCCATAGGGAAACATTGGCAGTAGAATGGCCTTACTGAAGAGCTCAGTGACTTTCAACATGGCACCATAATAATAATATGCCATTTAGCAGACGCTTTTATCCAAAGCAACTTACAGTCATGCGTGCATACATTTTTGTGTATGGGTGGTCCCGGGGATCGAACCCACTACCTTGGCGTTACAAGCGCCGTGCTCTACCAGCTGAGCTACAGAGGACCACATGCCACCTTGCCAACAAGTCAGTTCGTCAAATTTCTGCTCTGCTAGAGCTGCCTCGGTAAGTGTTGTTATTGTAAAGTGGAAACGTCTAGGAGCAACAACGGCTCAGCTGCGAAGTGGTAGGCCACACAAGCTCACAGAACGGGATCGCTGAGTGCTGAAGCGCATAGTGCGTAAAAATCGTCTGTCCTCAGTTGCAACACTCATTACCGAGTTCCAAACTGCCTCTGGAAGCAACGTCAGCACAAGAACTGTTCGTCAGGAGCTTCATGAAATGGGTTTCCATGGCCGAGCAGCCGCACACAAGCCTAAGATCACCATGCGCAATGCCAAGCATCGGCTGGAGTGCTGTAAAGCTTGCCGCCGTTGGACTCTTGAGCAGTGGAAACACGTTCTCTGGAGTGATGAATCACGCTTCACCATCTGACAGTCCAACGGACAAATCTGGGTTTGATGGATGCCAGGAGAACGCTACCTGCCCCAATGCGTAGTGCCAACTGTCAAGTTTGGTGGAGGAGGAATAATGGTCTGGGGCTGTTTTTCATGGTTCGGGCTAGGCCCCTTAGTTCCAGTGAAAGGAAATCTTAATGCTACAACATACAATGACATTCTAGACAATTCTGAGCTTCCAACTTTGTGGCAACAGTTTGCGGAAGGCCCTTTCCTGTTTCAGCATAACAATGCAGGGGCATTGCACAAAGCGAGGT